GCTCTGGCTCACTACCACATCACCACGCCCCCTCTTCCCTTTATTATTATTTCCTCCTTTTCTTTTTACCCTGAGCGTCCGCCAACTGCTTTTATTTGTGATAAATATTGCATATCTTACCACTGTGAATCCACCTCCTTTATTCTCCTCCTCTTTCTTTCTCTCTCTGTCTTTCTGTCTGTCTGTCTGTCTGTCTGTCTGTCTGTCTGTCTGTCTGTCTGTCTGTCTCTGTCTGTCTGTCTCTCTCTCTTTCTCTCTCTTCTGTCTCTTTTGTCTCGCTTTCTCTCTCTCTTCCTCTTTCGCTCTCTCTTCCCCTCTTCCTTTTCTAACTCTCTTCCCTTTCTCCTCCTCCTCTCTCCCTCTGTTGCTCTCCTATCTTCCCCTCCCTCCAAGCACATTATTCATGCAAACCTAAACGTTCCCATCATCATCATTGCATTGTAAGAATTCGCAATGTATCTCAGTCCCCGTAGCATAAGGAAGTAGAACGAGGAGAGAGTAAGGGGAGGAGGAGGGACGGATGGAAGGAGGGAGGGAGGAGGGAGGAAAGGGGAGATGAGAAGAGGGAGGGAGGGAGGAGAGTGAGAGAGGGGAGAGGGGTGGGAGAGAAGGATAGGGAAAATAGGGGTAGGAGAGAGGAGAGGGAGAGAGAGAGAGAGAGAGAGGGAGAGAGAGAGAGAGAGAGAGAGAGAGAGAGAGAGAGAGAGAGAGAGAGAGAGAGAGAGAGAAGAGAGAGAGAGAGAAGAGAGAGAGGCGAGGAACCTGCAAATGAAAAAGACAAACCGGAAAAGAAGAGATAATAGGAGAAAAGACAAAGGAAGGAGAAAAGCAGAAATCAGGAGAAGAGGAAAGGCGGAAACACCAAATTGGCGTGACGGAGAACGTGAAAAAAAGACAAAAATGAAGCAGAGGAGGAAGAGAATGAATACTTAATTGGTATAAACTAATTACGCCAAAAAAGCCCACACGTGTGTGTGTGTGTGTGTGTGTGTGTTGTGTGTGTGTGTGTGTGTGTGTGTGTGTGTGTGTGTGTGTGTGTGTGTGTGTGTGTGTGTGTGTGTGGTGTGTGTGTGTGTTGCGCGCGCGTGTCGTGTGTGTGTGTGCGTGTGTACGTGTATGTGGGTACATATACACATACACGACAACACAGAGGAAGAATAACCCCAATAAAACAAAAAAAAAACGCGCGCACCGACCAAACCAGACACACAAAAACAAAAGTAAAATAGCAAATGCTGAGAAGCCGCACGTAGGCCTGTTGTCCCAAAGAAGGCAATGCGCAGATGACAAAAGAGCATAGAGAGCGCCGCCAAGAAGCGAGGAAGGTGACACCCAGCGACGAGATAAGGATCAGGCCAAAACGAGAATGGAGTACTACGAAAGGGAAAGGAGACGGAGAGAAAAGGATACGGCGATGGAGAGAGATCAAGGTGAAAGTTGAGACGCCGGAGCGCGGGGCGGGGCCAGCGTGCGCAGAGGGAGGGGAGGAGAGGAAAGGGGAAGGGGAAGAGAGGATAGGAGAAAGTGCAGAGGAGAGGGAGAGGGAGAGAGTGAGGGAGAGGGAGAGGGTGAGGGTGAGAGAGTGAGGGAGAGGGAGAGGGTGAGGGTGAGGGAGAAAGAGAGGTAGGGGGAGGGAGAAAGAGGATAGGAGAAAGTGCAGAGGGAGAGGGTGAGCGAGAAGGAGAGGTAGGGGAGGGAGAGAGAGAGGAAAGGAGAAAGTGCAGAGGAAGAGGGAAAGGAAAGGAGCAGAGAAGAAAGGAGAGAGGGAGAGAGAAGAGAGGACAAAATAATGAGGGATTTGGGTAAAGATGCAATAAAGTGTGACTACTACTACTACAACTAATAATAATGATAATAATAATAACAACAATAATAATAATAATAATGATAAACAACAACAACAATAACAAAAGTAATAATGATAATAACAAAGAGAATAACAAATAATAACGGTGAAAATGAAAAATCCAAGGTTTTTAAGGTGAAGCAAAGAGGATGCGAAGGGCGACAGGTGAAAAAAAGGGATAGAGAGGAGAGGAACGAAGGCGAGAAGGAGAGAGAGAGAGAAAGAGAGATGGAGAGGACGAACCGGAGAAACACCGATCCTTTTCCCCTCCTCCTCTTCCTAGTGCACCCCTCCCCTCCCTTCTCCTTAATGTTCCCCTTGGCTGACCCTCTCCCATACCCACCTCCTCCCCCTAGACCCTCAAAACCCTCCCCCATCTTTAAATACTATTATTCAGCTCTCGACATTGGGCTTTTTAATCCTTTTTTTGTCTCTTTTCATATTCTTATTTACGTCTCACCATAAATTCTGGCAACAACAGGAATTGAAACCGCCCGTGCGAACCATCTCGCAATTTCTCCGGAGGTTCGCACCCTAAAGCCATCCTCCTCCTCCTCCCCCCTCTCGCGTCCCCACTACAATCCGCACTCCCAAATACCCAACTACCCTCCTTCTTCACGCTTAACTTCATATCCCCATACTGGTAACACCATTCACCCTAACTTCATACAAATATCCTTAACTTCAAACCCCAGACTACCTCTCCCCCTATAACTTCACCTCCGCCCACTTTTCCCACAACTTCACTACAACTCCTTCCCCAACTGCATTACCCTTACTACCTAACCCCTCACCCCCATCGCATTACCTTCACTCCAACTCACACCTCTATCATCACCCCTAACTACCACCCTGACTTCACCGCTACACATCTCCGTCACCCTTAAC